CGCACACGCACACGCACACGCACACGCACCCGCACCCGCACACGCACACGCACACGCACACGCACCCGCACACGCACACGCACACGCACACGCACACGCACACGCACACGCACACGCACACGCACACGCACACGCACACGCACACGCACACGCACACGCACACGCACACGCACACGCACACGCACACGCACACGCACACGCACACGCACACGTACACGCACACGCACACGCACACGCACACGCACACGCACACGCACACGCACACGCACACGCACACACACACATCCACACAATTTGGCATTTTCACTTGCCCAGTACAGCGTTTCGTGGCCTCATAGGGGGTTTCACGGAAGCCCTCACTGGGACCGCCCGCATGCATCCCACACAGCCAATTTGACATCCTCACCCACCGAATAGAGCGTTTCGTGGCCGCTCCACCGACGCCCCCAGTGGGACCGCCCGGACCCCAGCCCGTCAATACAAGCGTCGAAAGGACAATTCGCTTCGACTATATTGGGGGGGGCTTCTAAAGATCTATTTAGGTTATTGCCAGACTTGTGATCGACGATCGCGGTGGCAATTATGTTTACCTGTGCAGCCAGCGCGTCACTCATGGTGAATGTACCAGTTTGGGGCAGTGCGATCAACAACCAGTTTTGGCGGCTTGAGCTGACGTTTCGGCACTGGCGAGATGATATGCCACGAAGCAGCTGCGGCGAGTTCGATAGCAGTTGTTGTGTGCCCCCAGGGAAATGTGACAGGCGTGAGTCATCGATTTGACGTACATTGCATTCGCAGTTGTGTAGCTTCCGCCCGCACTGCAGGATGCTGGAAGAGCTGCAGGCAGGCAACTGCATTTGTGAGGATCCACAGCGAAGCATGGTGTAATCTCTCTTCGCTGCGCCCACCCGTACGTGTGGCATCGCCTGTAGATCCTCTTTTGTGAGAGTGAGCTTTCTCCAGTAGTTCTAGGATGCTTACCGACCCCCTGTTGCAGAGTTGTTTACGTAAGATGCGCGAGTCCTGGTTGTGGTGCTGTCCGTTGCTGGTGCGGGATGTCTTGAGGAGTCACAGGTTTCTGGTGGTCTTCCAGTGAATAACGAAGGGGGGTGGATAAGGAGTTACAGACGACCGAATGGATATTAGTGCTGAGGAGGCGCTCTGAGTTGATCGTGCTTTTTCGGTCGAGCGTATGCTCAGCGCCCCCGCCTTGATCTCCGAGCTGTTCGAGTGCAGGCTCCGCCCCCTAAGGTTTGGTTTTCTTAGTTGGCACAGGAAGGCATGGGAGTTCGGCGTGCTCTTACGCCGAGCTGCCTGCAAGAGGACATGGACGACATCCCGGGGGACACCTACAAACACCCGCTCAGCCGGAGAGACCCGCGAGTGGGGATAGCAGGGTTGAGGGCATGAGGTGGAGGAGGAGGAGGAGAAGGAGGAGGAGGAGGAGGATGAGGAGGAGGCGGAGGAGGATGAGGGGTGAGGACGAAAAGAGGATTTTTTTTTTCTTTTCTGGGAGTTGGTATCTTACGGGAGCTGGAGATACCCTTATTCTGGGCGCTTTCCACTGCGCAAGCGTTGCGTACGTACCTGGTGGGGCCAGTGCACCTGGTTTCGAAGTAAGCAGCAAATGCGGATGCCATCATTGTAGAGTTGGTTCTGAGAATGTACGTGCTCGAAGGCAGGATCGCTTGTTTTGATGGGTGTCTAACCAACAGTTTCCAAATCCATGCGCTTGTGCTCGCATTCATCAAGGTTTCGCCAGGGGCCCGTGACTCCAATGAGATACCCCAGAGTGGCCAGAGACATTTTGAGGGATATGAGATGTCACAGTCCAAGCGCCCTCTCCGCTCTCTTGTCGTCTTTTTTCTACACTTGCATCGAATATTCTGTTCTCTCCCACTTGATCTCATTCACTCCTTCTGCCCTCCCACTCCTGGACAGCTTTTCCACAGCATGCCCTCACGTTGAATTGGTGTGTGTGTGTGTATGTCTGTGCTTTCCTAGTCTGATCGTTTCTTCCGCCATCTCTCCATCCCTCTATCCCTCCATCCCTTCATCTCTAGCTCTCCGAAAGAAACGGAAGACAGGGCCGTCCCTTGTTTTCTGCGTTCCCGCGTCTCCAAGTCTACCAGCTCCATCTCCGCCCTTTCTGTCTTTCTCTCGTTCTTCCCTCTCCTGTTTCCTGCCCGCGCTTTTCCCTCTGCACCCGCCTCTGCTTCCCCTCGTTCCCCCGGAGATCCGACGTTCTGGGAGAGTCAGCGCGTCGTGGAAAGCGTCACGACCGCAGCTCTCGAACCCACCCTTCGGCAGTCTTCTCGAAGCCAGATCGGTCTATGAGAGTTCCCGTGCCTGAGACGGGCTCCGATGGTCGTTGTGTTTTTTTTCACGACGCCCAGGTCTGAGGAACCTCCCCCTGTTTGGTTGGTTGTCGGGCCGCAGCTCTGGCTCCATGCGGCCGTTCGGGATGCCAGGATGCAGCTCCTGGGAGGGCAAGTCCAGAATCGTCGCTGCTATCTCCTTGGTCGAACGCTAGCCTAATCAGGCACAGTCCCGCTTACCTCCGCTTTACCCCGCTGAGTCTGGCTTAACCCAGCTTCATCTTCGGTTCAATTTGGGCTAATCCGAATGGCCCCTCATTCGACTCGGGCTTAGCAGCCCCAGCTCGTTCTTACGAAGACCTCTGCCAGGAGTTGCCTCCTCAGGGATGATTGGGCTCCCTGGAGGGTCCTCGACGACACCCGAGAGCTTTCAGAGAGCCACACATGCCATCGAACGCCTCACGACGCCTTTGATGTCAGGGTTCCCATTCTCTCTCCCTCAACACCGGCACCCCGACCTTTCCTGGAGTGCGTTGTGACCAGGATTTCGAGGCGAATCTGGCTGTGTCGAAGAACCCCCCCATGGAGACCACCGAAAAGTGCCGTGATTCCTCCTCCTGCCTCCTTTTCCTCCATTTCCTTCTCTTCCTCTTCCTCTTCCTCCTCCTCCTCCTCCTCCTCCTCCTGCCTCCTCCTCTTCTTCTCTCTTCGGGGTGTGCTCCATCGTTGGCCGCGGGGTGTGTGGTGGCCCTCCCCCAGCGTGCAGACAGCTCTTCTCCGTTGCCGTATCCCGCGTGGTATTCTGACCTTCTCGGACCGCCGCCCCCCCAATGGACAGTTGCCATTTTTTCTGACTGGACACGATCTTCACGAGTTCGGCCTACTGGGTTTTGCGGCGAAAGCGGGCCGTCGTAATGTCTGCCGAAGTCGCCCTCTGCCCTCGAACAGCATAGAGCGCGAGCGCCGCAAAGCGGCGCCGCCCCGAGGTTTCTGTTGCCCTCTGGGTCGGGGGCGGGCCATGCGCGAGAGCGCCCGCCCGACCTTGTTGGCGACTCGGGAGGGCCCGATCTGGTGGAGTCGACTTGGACGACCGAGTCCCTGGAAAGTTTATACGCAGGGTGTGTGTGTGTGTGTGTGTGTGACTGTTGCGTTTTCCGAGGGTGCGCTTTTTCTGGCTCCCACGGGGTCCGAGGTGATTCTTCGACCCCGGTCGCATTGCAAGGGCATGAACTTTTTTGAGGCCCTTCATGGTCGTCGACCCGGCGCCCGCGCCATTGGCGGGTGCCGCGAACGCCCAGGGCCCAGCATTCGGTAGGCGGCGAACGACTCGGAGTCCTCCGTCTGGCCTTTGCAGCACGCTTCCCCGGGCCCTTGTTTCACCATGGATCGCGCGGAATTCACTTGTCCCAGTTCGGCGACCTCCACTGCAATTGGCACTGGAGGGCCCTGAGGGCGGCACTGCGCTATGCAATCAGCCCGGCGAAGGACCCAATCAGATGCAGGACGAACCGTGTGAGGGGTGTGCCGACATGAGTGCCTGGGACGCATGTGGACGAATCCCCTGGGGCCTTCGGTCGGGCTCCCTATGGGGCCACGAACCTTGCGAGGGATGTGCCGACATGAGTTCCTGGGACTCATGTGGACGAATCCCCTGCGGCCTTCGGTGGAGCTCCCCATGGGGCCACGAACCTTGCGAGGGATGTGCCGACATTGGGTGACGGGGACGCATGTGGCCACATCCCGTGGGGCCTTCGGTGGAGCTCCCTATGGGGCCCACGAGCCGTGTGAGGGGTGTGCCGAAATTGATGGCGGGGGCGCATGTAAACTATGTCACTGGGGCCTTCGGGGGAGCCCCTATGGGACCACGGAGCGCGTGAGGGGTGTGCCGCAATGGGTGGCGGGGACGCATGCGAACTGTGCCAGTGGGACCTTCGGCTGAGCTCCTACGGGGCCACGAAGCGTGGGAGGGGCGTGCCGAAATGGGTGGCGGGACGCATGCGAACGGCACCACTGGAACCGTCGGTGGAGCTCCTTATGGGGCCACGAAACGTGTGAGGGGTGTGCCGAAATGGTCGGCGGGGACGCATGCGAACTGTGCCACTGGGACATTCGGTGGAGCTTCTATGGGGCCATAAAAGGGGTGATGGGGTGCGCCTAAATGAGTGGGGGGGACGCATGCGAATGGCGCCGCTGGGACGCATGCGAATTGGGCCACTGGGACTTTCGGCGGAGCTTCTATGGGGCTATAAAACGCGTCAGGGGTGTGCCGAAATGAGTGATTGGGACGCATGCGAACTGTGCCACTGGGACCTTCAGCGGAGTGTCTATGGGGCCACGAAGCGCGTGAGGGGCATGCCGAAGTGAGTGGAGGGGCGCATGCGAACTGCGCCACTGGGACCTTCAGAGGCGCTCATATGGAGAGACGAAGCGTGTGAGGGGCGTGCCGAAATGAGTGGCGGGGACGCATGCGAATTGTGCCACTGGGACCTTCAGAAGAGCTCATATGGAGCAAAGAAACGTGTGAGGGGCGTGCCGACATGAGTGGCCGGGACGCATGCGAACGGCACCACTTGGACCTTCAGCTGAGCTCCTAAGGGACCACGAAACGTGCGAGGGGCGCGCCGAAGTGGGTGGCGGGGACGCATGCGAACGGCGCCATTGGGACCTTCAGCGGAGCTCCTATGGGGCCACGACGCGTGCGAGGGGCGAGGGGTGCGCCGAAATCGGTGGCGGAGGCGCATGAACGGCACCACTTGGGCCTTTAGCGGAGCTCCTATGGGACCACGAAACGTGTGAGGGGTGTGCCAAAGTGAGGGGGGTGACGATGATGATGATGGAGGAGGGAGGAGGGGAGGAGGAAGGAAGGAAGGGAGGAGGGAACGCGGGGACCGTCTCTTCAAAACATGGACCCAGCGCCACAGGATGATTGGGAAAAACATGTTTCAGTGAATTCTTATGTTGTTTTTCGCTGTTTACTTACGCCGATTTCGCCCCTCTTGCACTTCGTCGTCCTCGTCGTCCTCGTCGTCGTCGTCGTCGTCCTCCTCCTCCTCCTCCTCCTCCTCCACTTCTTCTCGCTGTTCTGGGGTTGCAGGGGTGGGCTTGTGGCGTGTGCGGATTTTGGGGCTGTCGAGCGGCCCTGTTCTTGGGATGGGGCTCGCCATTGTGGCCCTCACCCCCCCGGCAGAGCTCAGCTGACTGAGTCGCCCGAGGTCCCCGACTGACTGACCCCTCGCCCTCCTCCCCGTTTTCTCTCGGCGACGAGCGAGGAGGGAAAGTGAGACGGAGAAGGCCTTCTCGGAAGGCAGCGGAACTTCTCAGAAGCCCTCCTGCCTTCTGAGCGGTTTCTTGTGTCTTCGGGGAATGCGTCGAAAACGTCTCAGAAGGCTGAGGGACTTCTGAGCCCTCTGAGAGGGCCCGCCCCTTTTCACTTCCCCCCAGGCTTGCCGCCGATTCTCGTCTCAGAACTAGGAGCTCACCCTGGAAGCGCCTTTACGGCTACCTTCGCCCCAGATCTCTGACGCGGTGTTTTGTTCACGCTGGGGGTCCCTGGACCTCTGGACCTCTTCGCCAGTGCCGGTATTTGGGTTTTTAGCCCAAATCGTTTTTTGGAGCTCACGGGTCTAAGTCAAGGCTGCCGGAAGTCGAACATAGCCACAAACCATCGTCGCGTTGGTTTCTTCGACGCGAGGAGGTTTCGGCCCCACGTCTCGGATAGATTTGAAATGGCCATAAGATTCGAAAGCGGCTCCCGGAGGCCGAAACAAAGGAAAATCACCGCGATTGCAAAAATCAGCGCCAATACCTCCCTCCCTCCTTTTCCTCTTCCTTCTGCTCCTCCTTCTCCGCCTGGCCCTCTGACTCGTCCTCCTGCCCCTCCTCCTGCACTCTCTGCTCCTCCTCCTCCTCCTTCTTCTTGCTTTCTTCTTCCTCCTCCTTCTCCTCCTCTTCCTTCTCCTCCCTCCCCAACTTTTCCTCCTCCTCCTCCTTTTGGGCCTCTGTAGCTCCTCCTCCTCCTGCCCATCCTGATCCTGCTACTTCTCCTCTTCCTCCCCCTTTCTCCTCCCTCCTACTCCCCTTTCTCCTCCTCCTTCTCCTCCTTCTCCTCCTTCTTCTCGTTCTCCTTATTCTCCTCCTCCTCCTCCTCCTCCTCCTCCTCCTCCTCCCTCGTCTCCTTCTCCATTTTCTATTCCTATTCCTTCTCCTTTTCCCCCTCCTGGTGTTCTCAGCACTCATCATGCAGTAGCAGTGATTTCGAACCCTCAGCCGACGGGGACGGGAACAACGAACCAGCAATACTTCAATAGCAGCAGGAGCTTGCACACCCCGACTCCACCAAAAGGCGAGGACGGGGTGCCAGATGAGCTTTGGCGGCTCTCCAGCCTGGTCTAGCACCGACCCAGCGCTGAATCCAGATCCACTCCAATCCAATCCTCCTCCTCCTTCTCCTCCTCCCCCCTCCTCCCGCCTGATCCTCCTCCTGGTCCTTCTCCCCCTCCTCCTTCCCCTCTTGGCCCTCTATAACTCCTCTTCCTTGCCCTCGCTCCTCTTCCATTCTTTTTCCTTATACATAACTCCTCCCTGTCGCACCCCGAGGCCAGTCGGAAGGGCGGGCCGGGCGCTTCGCTTGAGACTTCCTTACCGTTTCTGATCCGAAGCTTCGAATTTTGCAACAGTTTTGGAGATGGAGCGCGCCAGTTTTTCAACATGTGGCTCTCGCCTTAGCGCTGCGCGCATTCGTTAAACGAAAAGTGCAATAGTTTAGCGGGTCGAGGGCGGATGGTTTTCAACATGTGGATCTCGCCTTAGCGCCGCGCATCTTTGTTTTAAGATTTCGAAAGAGTTTCACTGATTGAGGGCATTTCTTTTTCAACATGTGGCTCTCGTCTTAGCGCCGTGCACATTCGTTTTCAAAAATATGCAAGCGTTTCACGGATCGAGGGCGGGCCGTTTTTGAAACTGTGGCTCTCGCCTGAGCGCCGCGCACATTCCATTGTAAGGAATTTCACGAGTTTCACGGATTGAGGGCGGGTGGTCTTCAACACGTGGCTCTCGCTTTAGCGCCGCGCGCATTCGTTACACAAAGTCGTGAGAGTTTCACGTGCCCCCATGGTTTACGTAGAAGAAGCATGTTTTTGGAGCGACTCAGGATTGTCAGGGCGCAACAGTTACGTTCATTCGCGGTGGTGAAGTCCCAGGAACAGTGTGATGCCACGATTCAGGATTTCCATAATGCAGCAATCAGGTTGATTCGTGGCGTTGGAGGCCCGAAGAGATGTTCTGGCAAGTTTCAGAATCTTCAAACGGTAGTCCCCCAACGGGGCATTACCCTCAGTAGGAACGAGTCCTTGTAGGGGCCTATGCAGAGGGAGCTTGGAGGGAGGGTTCATTCCAACATCGCTGATGAGTCTTGGGTTTACACTGGTCCTCCTCTTCCTCCTCCTTCCTCCTCCTCCTTCCTCCGTCCTCGTCCTCCTCCTCCTCCTCCCCCTCCTCCTCCTCCTCCTCTTCCTCCTCCTCGTCCTTCCTCTCTTCCTCCTACTCCCTTTCCTCCCCTTCCTCCTCCTCCTCCTCCTCCTCCTCCTACTCCTACTCCTCCTCCTCCTCCTCCTCCTCCTCCTCCTCCTCCTCCTCTTTCCTCTCTTCTTCCTCCTTCCTTTCATCCTCTTCCTCCTCCTCCTCCTCCTCCTCCTGCCACCCCATCCCCCTTCCCACCTGCCAGCCTGCACTACGAGCAGCTGGACCGGCAGCGGCCACGTGGCCCCGAACTGGCGGGCCCCTCGGAGGCGCCCCACCTGCGCCTGCGCACCCTGCGGGCCGAGGCCTCCGGCCGGGGCCGCCGCCGCCGCCGCCGCCGTCGGTCCCTTGTTGGTCGATCTTCGATCCTGGCTCCTCGATCCTCGCTCCTCGATCCTCGATCGTCGACCCTCGATGATCCAGGATCGAGGCTTCAGGAAGTGCTGGGTCCTCTCTGCGCCTCCTGAGGCGCCCTTGTGGCCCCGGCTGGGCGCAGCTTGAATCAGGGGCAACGTTCGCGTTCGGGGGGGCAACGTTCGGTTCGAAGTTCGATGCTCGAGTTTTTCAGGTGTTCTCGTTGGTTCTCGGCATTTTCCAGCCTTGAGGTGCGCTCAAGCAGCTGCGCCTCGCCGAGGGCGTTCCGGGGGTACCCAGATCGTCCCGAACGGCCGCTGGAGCATAATGGTTTGAAAAACTGAGACCAGTCAACGTGAGGGGAGGGACAGGATCGGGGGTGATCGGCCCCCGATCGCCCGTTGATCGCCTATATGGGGCCCGATAGCCCACCCCGCCCAGGAGCGTGCGGATTCGACGTCGGGGGCCTATGGTCGATCTATCGGCGATGTGTCGTTGATTCCATTTCGATGTTTCCCCTCTGGGCTGCCCCCCTAATGTTGTGCGTCATTGGTCGGCGCTGCCTCTACATGATTGAAAGATTTCCAGTGATTTCCGACGGTCCTCGACGATTTGTTCGTCGTCGTCGTTGTCGTCGTCGTGGTCGTGGTCGTGGTCGTGGTCGCGGTCGCGGTCGCGGTCGTGGTCGTGGTCGTGGTCGTGGTCGTGGTCTTGGTCGTGGTCGTGGTCGTGGTCGTGGCCGTGGTGGTGGTGGTGGTGGTGGTCGTCGTCGTCGTCGTTGTGAGGTTCAAGGTTTTTGAACATTTTCTGGCCTCCAGGGGTGCCGTCGTGGCCACGGGCTGGATTCGCCTCGAACTTTTAGGCCAGAGCGCACCCCAGCAGTCGTGGGGGTCATTGTTATCCTCCTCTCGCTGTCGTCGGGGACGAAGAAGGGGGACAGTGATCGAGAGAGGCAACAAGGACGTCCCAAGAGGCCCCAAGAGATGGAATCCGAGTTCATATGGCAGGTCCTTCCCCCAAAGATGGTCTCCTAGATTGCCAGAAGGCCCCCAGAGGTCTTCAGAGGCCCACAAAGACCCCGCCAAGAGGCTTCGAGAGGCCCCCAAGACGATCCCAAGAGGCCCCACCAGGCTCCAAACATGCCCCCCCGAGCACGCAGGCAATTGCCAACGATGCTACAATATAGGCCTGCGACGTGACCGAATGAAGTCGAAACACCAACTTGCGCTTGCTCCTTTCTGCATCTCCGTCTCCATCATCGGTTCCGTCCGTAGTTTTCGACACGCATTGGTTTCCTTTGGGACCGTTTTCGGAGCCTCCTGTGGCCTTATTGGGCAGTTTTCTAATCTTCTGCGACTCTGGCGCCGTCGTGGTCCCCCCCCCCATCCCACGAATTCCACGATCCAGAAATGGTGGGGCGGCGGTGTCCGCCCTCTTAGGGGCCGTTCACTTGAATGAGGTCGAATGGGAAGGGGCACGGGGGCATCGGATCGAGAGTTGGACAGCACAGATTAGGGCACGCCTCCGCCAGCGTCTCCGCTGGCGTCGCCACCAGCTCCAGGTCTGGCCTCAGCTACCGCCTCCAGTCGATCGATGCTTGCGATCGTCGCTGTCGTTCTGCTCTTACCGCCCAGCATTGAGGGCGTAATTGTGGCCGCCCTGCCACATCAAGGTTCTAGGTTCGACACCTTCAGGCGTGTTCGACGGTTCTCGGCGGCTTTTCAGCCTTGGGATGCCTTCCAGCAGCCGCGCCTCGCCGAGAGCGTTCTGTGGGTGCCCGGATCGTCCCGAACGGCCGCCAGAGACCAGAGACATGACCCGAAATTTGGACTACGAGGACGATTGTGGGGATAGGCAAGTGCTGTCATTGGGGGCGTCCAAGAGGGGTCTCGGGGGCGTGGGACACATGCCGCTCTCCCCTAAACAGTGGACGTTCGGCATTCCGAGTGTCTTGGCTCTCTGCCTCACACTTTCTCTGGGATAGTCATGGTGATGGTATCTGCAGTGCCAGGCTTGCCGCCGTTTGTTCCCATGGGGTTCGTTCAGCATGGCGAGCATTCTGGTCATCCGGGTCAAACACTCGAGGTCATACTTATGACTGTCTTCGTTCTCTGCTCATCGTGCCTTTGCTTTTGCGACTATCTGGCCAGACCGCTACGTCGGGCGAAGCCCTTGACCGCTGCCTCCGCAGGAACGCTTTGGCAGGAGATCTAGGACCGCTTCATCCTCTTTGCGCCTCTTGCCTTCACCCTTTTTGATGGTATTGCCACGGGAGCAGAGCAAAAGAGGCATGGGACAGGCTTCCAGGTCATTGCATGGGCGCCTTCTCTCCAGAAGCCACATCTGCCAGCCTTGGCTTCTTTGCATGCCGCAAACGGCGAAACATTATGGAGAATCATTGTTTTTCCGCTCAGGGATGATTTGCGTCCGATGGTCATGTGAAGTGGTTGGGTGTGGTTAGCATAGTTGGTGGCACGAGCTGGCCCTAGCTATAGATTTTCATTGTCGGAGGACGATCGACTTTTGCCTGAATGAAGGGCGGCTCGGTGAAGCATCAATGACGGGGTCAGGGAATATCTCCTTCTGCTTGTTAGAACATATCATAGGGTCACTTCGGTCTTCCCAGCCGTCCTCGGCCATGGGCTTCGTCTAACGCCCCAAGAGCGCCTCCAGAGGCCCCTCCAAAGGGCCCCAGAAGTCGAAAATCATTAATTTTTCAATGGTTTTTGAAGCATTCTTGCGCTCTCCCATCTTCCGCCTCCCTACGGTCCCGGACCGCGTCAGAGGCCCTTCAGATCGCTCCAAGACGGTCGAAGAGGCTCCCAAGAAAGCCCAGAGACGGCCCAAGAGGCTCCTCAGATAAGTCAAGAGGGCCTCGAGAGCGCCCCGAGAGAGCTCCAAGAGCGACCCAAGAGGGCCCGAAGAGCGCGACATTTCGAGGTCTCTGGCCTGAGAGGCGCCTAGGAAGCCCCCAGAGGCCATCAAGAGGTTCCCAAGAAGCCCTGTGAGGCTCCCAAGAGGCTCCCGGAAGCCCCAGTAGGCCCCCAAGGGACCCCCAGGGAAGCCCCCTGCGGGCCCCCAAGACATTTCGGTAAATCGTATTTCCCAGATAGCTTTCCGGGAACATGATTCCTTGGGCTTCCGCCCACCGCCCCAACCATGTCTCCAATAGGCTTGCAGACAAGGCTAAAAGGCGCCCCTCGGTAAGCCCCCAGAGGCCCCCCTCTTAGAGAGCCGAACAAATCATGCTCTTGGAAAGCTTCCCAGGAACATGATTCTCTATCTCGGAGTAGGCTCGGGGGGGGGGGGGGGGGGGCGTTGCCTGTTCCCCTCATCGGTCCAGAGCTCCCGAGGCGGCCCGAGCCCGCCCCGCAGCAGGCCACGACAGGCTAAGAGGGTCCCGAGAGGACCCAAGACGGTGCCACGAGGCCCCGAAGACGCCCAAGTTGTCCTCAAGACAGCCGACGAGGACTCCAACACGCTCCAGGACGGACTCAAGAGGCTCCCCGAGAGGGCCCTGGAAGGCAAGATTCACTCGTTTTCCGAGTGTTTTGGATTTTGGCGTTCTCGCTTTTCCCGCTTTCCAGCGCTCCCTCACGGCCTCGGAGGCCCCAGAAGGGGTCCCGAGGCGGCCCGGGCCCGCCCCGAAGCAGGCTGCGACAGGCTAATGGAGGTCCCGAGAGGGCCCTAGACGGTCCCAAGAGGCCCCGAAGACGCCCAAGCTGCCCTCAAGACGGCCGACGAGGATTTGAACACGCTCCAGGACGGACTCAAGAGGCTCCCCAAGAGGGCCTTGGGACACCCCAACAAATCATGTCCCCAGAAAGTCTTCCGGGGACATGGTTCATCATGGGCCCGCGGCCCGCGAGTCTCTGGAGGCTTCGAAGTACCATCATGCTACAGGAGAGCTGCCTGGGAAGTTGATTGGGAACATGAGTGACCGCCTTCTCGCGGCCCTCCGCAGGATTTGCGCAGATCGTTTCGCACAAAGTTGCCCCAAGTGCCCTCTTGAATCGACGACGACGACGACGACGGAACGACGAAGACGACGACGACGCCGACAACGACGACGACGACGGCGCGCCCCAATAGGCGACGACGACAGTACGACGACGACGACGACAGCACGCCCCAACAGGTTCCCCAAGACGCCCCAAACCCATGCTCCCAGAACGTCTCCTGGGAACCCAATTCATACGGCCTCCGCCCCCCTACACAACCATTTTCCTCGAAGGCCTTTCGGAATGCAGATTGGCATGCGTGGACTGTGGTCCACAACTTCAGTGGAGCAGTGAATTCGTCAAGGCCTGGGGCCTGCTAGAACCTGAGCGCGCGCGAAGCGCTCGCGATGGTTCTAGTACGTATATATATATATATATACACATACACACATTCATACACACATATGTATGTATGTATGTATGTATGTATGTATGTATGTATGTATGTATGTATGTATGTATGTATGTATGTATGTATGCATGCATGCATGCATGCATGCATGCATATGTATGCATGTATGTATGTATGTATGTATGTATGTATGTATGTATGTATGTATGTATGTATGTATGTATGTATGTATGTATGTATGTATGTATGTATATAATGTGCATGTATGTATGTATGTATGTATGTATGTATGTATGTATGTATGTATACATGCATGCATGCATGCATACATGTATGTATGTATGTATGTATGTATGTATGTATGTATGTATGTATGTATGTATGTATGTATGTATATATTTATATATATGCATACACATATCCCATATGGAACAACAGTTTGGGCAGTTTTTGTTGTTGTTTGTTCGTTTCATACTTCCTGTTTTGTCGCGTATACATACATTTACACATATATATATATATAGAAAGTGCATCTGCCATATCGCATGTCTGTATGTCTATATATATGTGTACATAGCAATTATTTTATGTGTAAATCAACACATAATGTAGATATACAACTAATTTTTGTAATTCATAACCATATCTGTATATACACGTCAAGATCTCCAGTGCTAGAGCGCCACCTTCGCTGCCAGAGTCAGCGTGCTGGCGCCGATGTTGAGAATAATTGGGGGTGGCTGTCCTCTTTCTTTTTTCCCGTCCTCTCCCTATCCATTCTTGCGGCTGTTAGCCAGATGAGAGAACCTGAGTACGTGCGAAGCTCGTAGCGTGGTGTCTCTAAGTTGGGTGGAGCTAGTCGGTAGTCCCCTGGGTTGCACCCCTTTCGGCCCCTGGTCGCCTCTCCCGCGCCCACCTCGGCCGCCTGCTCACCGCGACCCCCAGCTTGGGAGGCGACAGAGCGCTCCCCAGAAAAGCGGTGGTGTCAGCTGGGGGCAGGCGGGCCGGAGGTTCTTGGCCGCGGGGCCTGGCGAGCCATGGGGCCGATGGGGGGGGGTGGCCCGTGTTTGCGGGGTTTAGACTGGCCTTGCAAAGATTATGGCCGATAGAAGAAATAGAAAGAGAGAAAGCGAGAGAGAGAGAGAGAGAGAGCGAGAGAGAGAGAGAGAGAGAAATAGAGAGAGGCTTTGCCCATTCTCCTTTCTGATCGGCTTCCGCCAGCCCCCCGCCTGCCCAAACGTATCAACGTTTACGGTAGATGGTTGGGCAACGAGGGTTGCGGGTCGATCTCCCGTCGGCCGTCTTCGGATGCGTGGGAGCTGTTTCGGCCGTCTTTCCCACCCTGAAACTTGGAGGCACTGTGCATAAGACTCGCAGGAAATAGTCAGTAGTCCCTTGGGTTAAACCCCTATCGGCCCTTGGTCGCCTCTCCCGCGCCCACCTCGGCCGCCTGCTCACCGCGCCCGCCGGCCTGGGAGGCGGCAGAGCGTTCCCCAGAAAGGCGGTGGTCTCAGCTGGGAGCAGGCGGGCCGGAGGTTCTTGGCCGCGGGGCCTGGCGAGCCATGGGGCCGATGGGGTGGGTGGGCCGGTCTTGTGGGGTCTAGACTAGCCTTGCAAAGGCCATGGCCGACAAAAGAAACAGAGAGAAAGAGAGAGAGAGAGAGACAACAAACTGGGCTCTGCCCATTCTCCTTTCTGATCGGCTTCCGCCACCCCCCCGCCTGCCCAAACACATACATAATATATATATATATATGTATATATATGTATACATGTATTTATATATATATATATATATATATATATGTATACTGGGGAACGGGACCTGGGGCCGCCAGATTGGCACCTCGGACCCCCTTGGGGGCCACGGGGCTGCAGGACGCTCCTGGGGGCCCGAACCTCGACCACAAATGTGGGGCCTGGGGCCCGGGCCCGCTTCTGGGAGGGCTTAAATCGCCGTCGGGAGCCCACCGGCAGCCCTGGACGTTCTCGAGACGTTCCCCAGACCGCCTCCAGGCGTCTCCATTCGCCCACGATACGTTTTAAACTACCCAGAAAGCCCCCCCCCAGACGTCCCAAGACGCTTCAAGATGCCGCCCTAGAGCGGCCCGAGAGGCCCAAATCGTTTTTTTTTTTTTTTTTTTTTTTTTTTTTTTTTTTTGTGTGTGTGTGTGTGTGTGTGTGTGTGGGGGGCCCAAGACGGGCCCAAGAGGGCCCCAAGACGGCCACCAGGACAGCCCAAGAGGGCCCCAAGACGGCCCAAGAGGCGCCCAAGATGGCCCAAGAGGGCCCCAAGACGGGCCCAAGAGGGGGCCCAGAGGGGGACCACGAACCGCAAGCTCGAGCCTTCCGCCCCAAGAGGCCGCCAGGAGGCCCCCAGGAGGCCCCTCAAGAGGCCCCAGGAGACCCCAGACGTCCAAGGACGCCCCCAAGAGGCCCCAAGAAGCCTCCAACATGCGTCCCAAGAGGGCCCCTAACGCAAGAATTGGCCCATTCCCTTCGTAAAACGTACATTTTCAACAAAGTTGTCTTTTGGGTTTTCCGACGTTGCAGGACGGCCCAAGAGGCGCCCAAGACCGCCCCAAGACGGCCCAAGAAGCTTCCCAGAGGGCCCCAGGACAGCCCAAGAGGGCCCCAAGACGGCCCAAGAGGCGCCCAAGATGGCCCAAGAGGCCCCAAGGGCCCGGGAGACGGGCCCAAGAGGGGGCCCAGAGGGGGACCACGAACCGCAAGCTCGAGCCTTCCGCCCCAAGAGGCCGCCAGGAGGCCCCCAGGAGGCCCCTCAAGAGGCCCCAGGAGACCCCAGACGTCCAAGGACGCCCCCAAGACGCCCCAAGAAGCCTCCAACATGCGTCCCAAGAGGGCCCCTAGACGCAAGAATTGGCCCATTCCGTTCGTAAAACGTACATGTTCAACAAAGTCGCCTTTTGGGCTTTCCGACGTTACAGGACGGCCCAAGAGGCGCCCAAGACCGCCCCAAGACGGCCCAAAAAACTTCCCAGAGGGCTCCAGGACAGCCCAAGAGGGCCCCAAGACGGCCCAAGAGGCGCCCAAGATGGCCCAAGAGGGCCCGAAGACGGGCCCAAGAGGGGGCCCAGAGGGGGACCACGAACCGCAAGCTCGAGCCTTCCGGCAGCGTCGGTCAGCGTCGGCTCGAAAGAGCCAGCAAGATGACATTGGAGGTCCCCCTGAGTTGCCACAGAAAATTCCGGGGGGACAGGCTCAGAAGGGGTTGGAAGGTCGAGATCTTCGGAACGTTTTCGTCGATTCCTGGAGGCTTTCCAGCCGCGGGCTGCGTTCCAGTGGCTCCCTCTCGCCGAGAGGCGTCTGGGGTTGCCCAGATTCTCCCGACCGGCTACCGAAGAGCCGATTCATGAAGCGAGAGCCACATGGCAACTTCTCGGGGGGTCAGGCCCAAACGGGGGGGATGACCCTGCTGTCCGCCGGACAACGCCTCCTGTAACTGACCCCCTCGAGGGAGGTGCCCAGAGGCAGTGTCCTGCCAGCTGCGAGCCCCCTGTGGGCATCTCCCTCGACGAGGTCAACTGCAGGGGGCGCTATCCGGCCGAAATACCGGGAGGCGATGCACCGACCCCCCGTCGCCCGTTTCCTCCCCGACAGGGCCCCAAGGCCCGCTCCGCTCGGGAGCGCGCGGCTTCGCTGAGCGTGGGCCCCCGTCGCCCGCCGGAAAGTCGGGCGAGGCATCGCCGGTGCCAGGTCCACGCTTCCCCACCTTCTTCATGGGCTCGTTTTCCACCGCCACCACCATAGGTTGGAGGGGGAGGGGGTCCTCCTCCTCCTCCTCCTCCTCCTCCTCCTCCTCCTCCTCCTCCTCCTCCTCCTCCTCCTCCTCTACGTCCTCCTCCTCCTCCTACTCCTCCACCTCCTCCCCCTCCTCCTCCTCCTCCTCCTCCTCCTCCTCCTCCTCCTCCTCCTCCTCTACGTCCTCCTCCTCTACGTTCTCCTCCTCGTCCTCCACCTCCTTCCCCCCTACAACTTATGGTAGTGATGGTGGAAAACAGGCCCATCACCGCTGAGCAATTGCACATTGTGAGTCCTCTGTCTCCCCTGATCCCGTCTGGAAGAGAGACCCAAGAGGGTTCCAAGAGAGCCCAATCATCGGTCACGCGAAGGAGAGTTCGCGTGACCGATACGAAACTCTTTTCTTTCGCATCTTGGAGCTCCAAGAGGAGCCCAAGATGGCCCCGCGAGGGAACCGAGGAAGCCCCACGTGGGCCCAAGGAGGCCCAAGAGAGCCCCAAGAGAGCCCCAACATCGGTCACGCGGAAGAGCTCTCGCGTGACCGATGTTGGGCCCCTCTGTGGGCTCCTCTTGGAGCTCCGAGAGGAGCCAAAGATGGCCCCAGGAGGGCCAGACGAGACCCCAAGAGGACCCAAGCAGGCCCAAGAGGGACCCAAGAAAGCCCCAGCATAGGTCACGCGGAAGAGCCCTCGCGTCACCGATGTTGAGCCCCTCTTTGGGCTCCTCTTCGAGCTCCAAGAGGGGCCCAAGATGGCCCCACGAGGGCCCCGAGGGAGCCCCACGCGGGCCCAAGGAGGCCCAAGGAACCCCAAGGTGGCCCCAACATCGGTCACGCGGAAGAGCTCACGCGTGACCGATGTTGGGCCCCCTCTTTGGGCTCCTCTTGGAGCTTCGAGAGGAGCCCAAGATGGCCCCACGAGGGGCCCGTCGAGACCCCAAGAGGGCCCGAGGAGGCCCAATAAGACCCCAAGAGGGCCCCAACATCGGTCACGCGAAAGAGCTCTCACGTGACCGATGTTGGGCCTCTCTGTGGGCTCCTCTTGGAGCTCCGAGAGGAGCACAAGATGGCCCCGCGAGGGCCCCGACGAGCCCCAAGAGAGGCCAAGAAGGCCCAAGAGGGCCCAAAGAGCGCCCCAACATCGGTCACGCGGAAGAGCTCTCGCGTGACCGATGTTGGGCTTCCCTTTCGGCCATCTTGGAGCTTCAAGAAGAGCCCAAAATGGCGGTGTGTGTGTGTGTGTGTGTGTGCGCGTGTGTGTGTGTGTGTGTGTGTGTGTGTGTGTGTGTGTGTGTGTGTGTGTGTGTGTGTGTGTGTGTGTGTGCGTGTGCGTGCGTGCGTGCGTGCGTGCGTGCGTGCGTGCGTGCGTGCGTGCGTGCGTGCGTGCGTGCGTGCGTGCGTGCGTGCGTGCGTGCGTGCGTGCGTGCGTGTGTGTCTGTGTGTGTGCGTGCGTGCGTGTGTGTCTGTGTCTGTGTCTGTGTGTGCGGTGCTGGCGGGGGAGTGGCAGTCCCGCGTTTTCACGCTTGTCCCCCCTCCCCCTCCTTCTCGTCCTCTCCTTCCTCCTCCTCCCTCCTCTGCATCTTCCTCCTCCTCCTCCTCCTTCTCATCCTCCTCCTCCTCCTCCTCCTCCTCCTCTTCCTCCTTCTCCTCTCCAGGGGGATGAAAACCAGAGGATAGCTCACGGAGAGCCGAAGCACCCTCTTGTTGCATCCATCTTGGAGCTCCAGATGGAGCCCAAGAAGGCCCCACGAGGACCCCAACGGCGCCCCAAGAGAGCCCAAGGAGGCCCAAGAGGGTCCCGAGAGAGCCCCAACATCGGTCACGCGAAAGAGCTCTCGCATGCCGCATGACCGATGTTGAGCCGCTCTTTCGGCCATCTTGGGGCTCCAAAAGATCGAGGGCCCCGAGGGGACCCCACGTGGGCCCAAGGAGGCCCAAGAGGGACCCAAGACAGCCCCAAGAGAGCCCCAACATCGGTCACGCGGAAGAGCTCTCGCGTGACCGATGTTGG